TCTCTCTCTCTCTCTTTCTCTCTTTTATTCTCTCTCTCTCTCTCTCTCTCTCTCTCTCTCTCTCTCTCTCTTTCTCTCCGTCTTTCTCTCTTAGCCTACAAACGCAGACAGACACGGCACCCTCGCCCACACACCCACATGCACACATACACACACATAAACCTTACTACTATACACATTCATAATTATCGACCGTTCGACGTCAAAACCAAATGTGCAAGCATGTCGTGAAAGCTAGCAATCAAGCAGAACTTGAACAATTTCCCCCCCAAGTACCTATAAGAGCAGACCTCACTCGTGAAAACCGCTCGGTCGTCTCCAGCAATCAGCATCTTGTGCAACAACCGTAACACATCAATTATACTTAATGAGTATAATTATCAATTACACATGCCCTGAAACAATCGCGTCCCGTCGCTTCCCCCGTCGTTTTGCCTAACGCTAAAAGGAGTTCTGTTACTGGCGGTGAATTAGGCGGTTGGCTGAAGTTGCGCCATTTTGATCGGCCGACCGACGAGTGAAGAATATTCTGTACGAACCATAACGGGAAGATATTATTTTAATATGTCATGTCATGTTGGCATGCAACGTGAAACTGAAGCGTGCAATTCGTGGGTGTGTGGGTGTAGTTAAAGGGTGGGGGTAGTTGGAGAGGTGGAGGGGGTAGTTGGAGAGGTGGAGGGGGTAGTTGGAGAGGGGGGAGCGAAGGGGATAGTGTGGAGGAGGGGGGTTAAGAGGATGACAAGGCTGAGGAGGAGGAAAAGGAGGATGAAAAGAAAAAGGAGGATGAAAAGAAAAAGGAGAATGGAAAGAAAAAGAAGGAAGGGTAGTAAGAGGGTGAAATGGATGGGAGGACAAAGAGGAGAAAAAAGAGGAAGAAAAAGTAAAGGAAAACAGGGGGATGTGAATCTTGGAGACGCAAGCTAAGATGCTACCATTTAATTGTACATTTATTGTGCAAAAGAGACACCACGTTCTACCGAGAAAGGATGAAACTAAACGCCATAATTATGTTTTGTTCCCTTATCAACAATAAACAACTACGCGAGAGGTACGTACATCTAATACTTCCTCTATAACCTAGGTAAAAATATGACAGAGGACCAGTTTTACAGATTTACTTTTAGTAAGAGTTTTATGGCATTTGCAACACAATACGGTCACATAGATGCCGAAGATTAGAGGCGTAACACCAGAGTAACAAAAAACACAAAAGAAGGAGAAGAGATTAGGGCGATAGATGGTTGATAGGACAGAAGGAGGAAACCACACCAGAGCACACACCAACCACCCGCTTTATGAGAGAACTCTAGCGGGTATATTACACGCCTACATAGCAGTGAAGAGGTTAATACAATATTGTTTATTTCTGTATAATTGCTGTAGAACAATACAACGGCTGGCCGTCACTTTCGAGTTTTGAGACTTCCATTGTTTCTTTGCTGTTGTTGGGTTTTTTTTCCCTCTCCCAAATGTTGTCTCTAAGTGTACATTGACACCGTGTAATAACTTCACCTCGTATCGCTTTCAAGAGCCATTTTGCAATTGTGTCCTCGTTGTTTAAAGAAAGGGGGGGGGGGGGGG